TAATAATATTATTCTTTTGATAATTCTATTATTTCATCTTTTCACTATGTATTATTCTAGATTCACTAAGTGACTTTTTCAATTTCTATCGATTTTATTGAAAAATAATGATTAGAATTATAGTTATTTTATTTTGACTAATGAGTATATAATACTAATGATTAAGAGTCTTTTTTTAATTAAAAGATTCTAAATAAAGAGTGTTTAAATGACTGTTAAAAATTATTATTTTTTTTAATTTTCTATTTATACTTTGTTTATTGTATATGACTTATTAATTATTCTTTATTCTACATATATTTTTATGTGTATTCACTTATAAAATTAGAAAAACAATTTATATTATAATCTTAAATTGACACCATTTATCCAAATATAAAAAACAATAAACTTTTGCAATATTGAATAATAAATTGTAGAATTATTAATTTAAGTTTCTTATTAATTTTTAAATAAATAAGGAATTACTGAAAGTTTATTTCCAAAAGTGTTCAAAATAAATAGTCTTAGTTGTATTATTTATTGCAAATTAGATTATTGATGAATTTGATTAAGTTATCATTTTTAAGTTTTACTAAAGTTATATTGATTTTAAATGGAATCTAATTCTAAATATCTAAAGATTATTATATGCAGATATGAATGTATTCTATTTCTAATTTCATATTCTTACATTTGTATTAATAATTTTTATATTATTAAAAAAACACAATATTTGAAATATTCACTCATTATAAATAGGATTCAAAAAAATTTCATTTAGGTAATGTCAATTTATCAAAATCTTTTTTAAAAGAATTGAGTGTCTTTCCTATTTTTAAATCAATCATTCTCAAATTTACAAAATAAAAAGTTAATTATTATATTGTTTTCCATAATTTATTTACTTTATTATTTATTTAAAATCAAAAGTATATTATGTGGATTTATCCTATATTCCTCAAATATATTAATATAATTACTAATCCTTTAGGAGTATCATAATATGTGCAATGAATATTAGATTTGTTAACTACTTTGTAAAATCCTAAACATATTTTTAACAGGATTTAGTTTTCTCTTCGATTATATAAGAATCTGAATAATAAAAAGTCATTTTCCATAAGTATTTAATAAAGATTTAAGTTATAATAGACACATAATTAATAAGGAAAGCAAATAGCAAAAACCGTAATATAAAATCGACATGAAATATAAGTTACTTATTTTATGTTAGTGATTCTAATTAACAGAAGAACAATAAAGTATTGCCTATTTAGTCTTTAATAATTTATTCCCACTTCCTTTTATGTGAATTTAAGAATACGTTTTTAAATAATTTTTGGATGAATTTGTATATATAAAATAATTAATATATTTTTAACTATTATATCATCTATTAGAAAGAATAGGTTAATTTTCCAATAAACTACGTGCAGATTAACATTAGATTCGATATGTAAATATTTAATCTATATCAATTTAAATTTATTACCAGATTCTTGACTCATTTAAGTTGTTTTTAATTCAGAAATTATTTTCTTATTCTGTTTCTTTAGATTTAGTTGAATTTTCTATTGAATTTCAGTCAGCATTAATTATTTATTTAAATTGATCATTGATTTCTTATTTGTTGGAGTATTCACATTTCCCATTTTCAGTTATTTAATTAAAATCTAATGAAATAATGAAATTAATAAATTAATCATATATTTGATTCAATTCTAATTAATACACAGAAATCAACACAAATTATAGTTAAATTAATTAGATTAACAACCTTTAAGGACATCTATTTTGTATAATAAATATTGAAATCTATTATTCTTCTAAAGTCTAAATTATATACAAAAATAATAATCTATTAAATATATATATCTATAAGATATTAACTAGTTGTAATAATTATTATCTAATATGAAAATCACTTCAATTCAGGTTAAACTGATTTTAAAAAGGCTTCTAAATGTTATCCTTAATATTTGAGAAATTCAATTTCTTATTTCCTCTTTTATTCTTCAATTTAATTTCTTTCTTTAATCTTCTTATCTAAGGAATCTTTTTTATTAAGTAAATCAATCCTCTGAATTCTAATAAACATTCATACCTTTTCTTCTAATTTCTATTTCCTCTATTCTAATTAAACTATCTTTTCTTCTAATTCACTCTTCCCCATTTCAGCTTACAATTATTTTCTCATCCCAAATGTTACAGATGAATTATATAAAGTTTAATATGCAGCAATTGTCATTTTTAATTCATCTCTCACTCTCATTAATAATAATCCTATATTATAACTTAATAATAAATACCTCTCTCTGGACAATCTATTGTAACTTGTCTTATAATCTCATCAAAACATTAACTTAATAACTCTTCTCTTATAGGACAGATCCCAGTCTCTCTAAAATTATTTAATATAAACCATAACTACCTTGCCTATCTTGCCAATAATCTCTCATCTAATAATTTTTATAAGTTTCCAACATCTTCCCTTGTAGCTGGCACATGTGATACATATTATATATAATGCTTTCCATCATGATCCCATTCAATTGGAGGTAAAATGGCATTTAATATATCCTAATATTTCTCATTTTATTCCTTACTTCTGTATTAGGCTTTGATTCCAAAGGTGAAAGTTATGCTTTCTTTTTACCTTATAAAGTCCTTGAGGCATCATTGGCATTGCTCACTTCTATAGGATTTTCATATTTGACCAAAGACTCTCGAGGAGGTCTAACTTCTGTCATTTTATGATAATTATTTAAAATTATTATAACAATTTTATAAATTGAAAAATAAATAAATGAATATCTATACATATTGTAAGTGGAAAATTTAAAATTATTATTCTCATTACTTAATTTTCTTTTTATAAATAAGAAACCTATTCTAAATATTATTTTATATCTATGTAGCTATAGAATCCATTTATATTAGTTTTTGATTAGAACTAAGTTCAGTTGCTTTTTTAGTATTCGAAGTAGATTTTTAATTTTTGCCATCTTTATTATTTTCGTTCGGTTAAGTTTGTAAAGGTTTTTGTTCTATTTTGAATGATAATCTCCCTTATCTAGAGGGTATTTTTGAAATGGATGTATTATTTTACATACTAACACGTTCAGTGATAATAAACTTATTATATCCTTAAGGGTTGGCATTTTATCTTTGATTTTCGAATTAATCATTATTATTTTTTTTAAAGAATTCTCCAATATGAACTTATCTTGTTTATTTAGAAAGTGGTTATTGATTAATAAGTGAAGGTTCACGTTTTTGAATGGGTTCTTGTGATCTAGTCTTGCTACGTCTAAAGAATAGGTATGAATATTTTATACATTTTTTTTGTAATTGAAATATTATTTTGATTTTCTTAATGAGTTTTTCTAGGAGATTAAGTAATATGTTCTTAAGTAACTTCATTTTGTTATTATTAATAAGGAGATTTACTTTTGAGTTTAATTTTAAATATTTATGGAGCATTTTCATTAAATGGGATCTATGAAATAATTTATTGTGTAATTTTATTGAATGTTTATGATGAGAATTATGTTTATGATTAAGGGTTTTTATTTTATAAAAGATAATATGTAGTTGTAATTTGATTATGCTTATTGTTTTGAATCATTTCAATAATTTCAGATTGGTTGGCTAATCCAAATTGAACCATTTATTATATAATTTCATTATCAATCTTAAGAGACTGAGGAATAGAATATTTACCTGCAAATTTAATGAAATCATGATTCATTATTTCTTATAAAGTAATTCTTTATGTTGGATCTTTCATCAATAATTTTTTGAGTAAATCAGCAGCCTATAAACTAACATGTTTAGGTAAATGGAAATCTGAAGTCTTTATTTTTTCATATAATTTTTTGGTATTTTAATCTTCAAAAGGGACACATCTCAAATTAATTATAATGTAAATACCCACATAACATTGCATATAAAATGATTCCACTGGACCAAATATCTGTAAATAATCCATCATATGAAAGTCCTTATAACATTTCAGGAGCTGCATAACATGGACTACCACAAGGTGTTTTCAATTTCTATCCAGATTGATAAGTTGATGATAATCCAAAATCAACTACTTTTAATGTACCTTCGTTGAGTAATACATTTTCTGGTTTTAAATCTCTATGAACAACTTGATGTTCATGAATATAAGTAACTGCATGTATTAATTATATGAATAATCTAACAGCTTCTCGTTCTTCAAGACGTTTATTATTTACAATATGATCAAAGAGTTCTCCTCCACTAGCATACTCAGTAACAATGTATAACTTAGTATCACTTTCGACAATCTACTATGCAAATGGCTTACTTCAAATAATTACACCACATTAGGATGTCTTAGTTTTCTTAGTATTGAAATTTCACGATGAATTCTAACATAATCTGATTCTTATTATTTTGTCTTGTCTATTATTTTTATAGCCACCTAAATTCAATTAAATATACTATTATTACTTTCTCTCCTGTTAGTTTGTGAATCCCCAATTTAACCTTACTGAATGTTCCTTGACCTAAGTCTTTATCTATTGTATATGATTTCATTAATTTAATGATTGATATGAATAAATATACTTAATTATTTGTTTTTTTTTTATTGATATTGTACTTCAAATTATATAAAACACATATCAAAAGTTCAGATACTTGTATACTAATGTAATTTAAGAAAATCAATATATATTCAAAATATTAAAAGAAAAAATATGTACTTAAACAATTCAAAAATTTTTTTCAATATTATATTGAATAAGTACTAAATAGTCAAATTAAGTATTAATAGAATTTTAAGCCTTCTCTTATTTTTTAAATTTCAAATTTAACTTTCAAGTAATTGGATATAAATTTATAAATATATATGTGCCCCAAAATCTTAAGAATAAAATATAAATATGCAGAATCAAGAATGATAAATACAAAGATGTTCATTTTGTATTCAAAAAATAAACAAAAAAATAAATTAAAAAATGAGTATTAATTATATTATAAAATATATGGGTAATAATTGCACTGGCTAATGTGCGGGATGTTATAAAAGAGACATTGAAATATTAGTAAATATCTTCAATTCTATTCTAGAAAAGCGAACAACATTAAATATAATCAGAAAAACCTTAGGATTCATTAAGCAGAAAAAGTTCGAAAAATTTTGTAGAAGATGCTATCCCATTAAGTAGTAAAAGTGAAATCAATACTAAACCTATAACTAAAAGTGTTGTTGATATTGTTGGAGACAAATCAAAGAAAACAAGGGCTGTTATTAAAATTTAATCTTGTTGGAAGGGTTATTCAGTTAGAAAAAAGTTTCCATTTGTGAATCGCATCAAAACTAGTGTTGAAACTGAAGGAAGTAAAACAGTAGGCAGTTACTTTGGAAGATTGAACAATGAATCAAAATTAAAAAAGTATAACTACACACAACAATTTAAGATTAGCAAAAATGTATAATGGTTAATGGTTGGGAAAAGATAGACATGGAAAAGGAATCTAATCTTGGCCAGATGGAGCCCAATATGATGGTGAATGGGAACATAATAAAGCTCATGGAAGAGGAATATTTCGTCATGCTGACAAAATTGAATATGAAGGATAATGGAAATACAGTAAAGCATATGGCTATGGAATTATGAGATCTCCAAATGGAGCTTATTATGAAGGTGAATGGGAAAATGATCTTCAACATGGATATGGCAAAGAGAAGTGGGCTGATGGATCCTATTATGAAGGTCAATATTATAAAGGTTTAAAGCATGGAAAAGGGAAATATATATGGAAGGATAATAGTTATTATGAAGGAGAATGGTAGAATAATAAAATTCATGGATTAGGAGCTTATCATTGGATTGATGGGAGAGGTTATATAGGATAATGGAGAAATGGAATGATGAATGGACATGGAGAATATAGTTGGAGTGATGGTAGAAAGTATATTGGTGAATATCTAAATGATTAAAAGGATGGATATGGAGTATATAAATGGGTAGATGGCAAAGAATTTAGAGGATTGTGGTAGAAGGGAGTTTAACATGGAGAAGGGATTTATGTTACAGTTGATGGTAGAACTAAGAGAGGATTATGGCAAGAAGGCAAGTTAGTTTAATGGTTGAAATGATTGATTACTACAAATTAATTTTATAATTTAACGTTTATGAGTTTATATAGTGAGGAGTGTGTACCCTAAAATATGAGTCAAGATTTTATTAAGAGGAAATATAGAGGCAAAGAAAATATGTCATTGAATCGTAATTCAATTAAGATGAATTCTATCACTTAAGTCATTGAAAAATCACAATAATTTCAAAATCTACATTTAACCATTGGAGAATATTGGGGATAAGTCAAATTAAATAGAGCCAATGGGATAGGGTCATGTCATTTGAATACAGGGGGATTTTATTATGGAGAATGGAAAAACAATATAATCCATGGTATAGGAATATACTTCTTTAATGTTGGTGGATATATAAAGGGAGAGTTTTAGGATGGAAAGGCAGAAGGAAATTGTGAGTTATGTTATCAAAATGGATAATTATATTAGGGAACTTTTAAATAAGGAAAATAATAAGGTTTAGGAGTTAAGACAAGCAGAAGAGGAAAAGAAGTTGTATAGTATAAAGATGGAATTCGTATAAATGTTAATGAAGAACATTCATAAAAGGAGAGTATTAATTAGTTATTGAAAATCTAATTGCCATAAATCTATATTCATCAAGATAGAACAGTTTATGGATTATAATGTGATTTAACAGGTTTAGGCGTTATTCAGTATAAAAATGGCAGAGTAGATATGGGATAATTTTAGAATGGTTTTTTAAATGGAAAAGGAAGAATTATATTTAAAAGTGGGGATATTTATGATGGATAATTGTAAAATGGATAATTTTAAGGATAAGGTAAATTAATTATATAAATTTAAAGGGTTTTATTTAAATTACAATTCCAAATAGATGACAGAGGGTATTTTTGAAAAGAACTAAATTGTCTCTATAGAAAATTAAGTTATTTAATATCCTCCAAAAGGAGATGATGAATAATTTGTTGTTGATCAAAGAATTAATATTAAAAATTTGCATCTCAAGAGTAGAGGATATAATAATATTAATTCTTAATATAATTCTGAGAAAAAACCAAATAAAGTAAATAAGATTTAAAATTTAATTTAACATATGCTTAATCCAATAAAACATAGTTTTAAAAGTGAAAGTGTATAACATGAAGATGTTTTAGATAATTTATTATCTAGAGTATAATCACCATAATAAAGGAAGAATCTAGAATAAATAATTAATTAAGTAACATCACCATAAAGAATAAGATGATTTCATTAAATTATTTTTATATAATTTGATTATTACTAATTTAAGAAATCATAAATAAAAATATTCACATTTTATCAAAAAACTATTTAATTTTCTACTTTTTAAGATTCGTAATAGATTATTAAAGATTTTTAGTTTTTAAACTCTTTTGTTTTTTCTATTTATCATCATCATCATCTGAATCATCATTATCATCATCAGAATCACTATCAGATTCTCCTTCCATATCTATTTCTTTTTAAGTTTATTTATTAGTATATTCAAATTCTGCTTCATTAACTTGAACTTTAGCTGATTTTCTCTTATTGACAAAATCTGCAATATCATAAAATTTAATTGAACTATCATGTGACAATGAAGCTGCAATTTTTTATGTTCTATCAACAACTATTTTAGTAATAGGGAAATAAGAATTATCTTCATGTTAACCTAATATTCCTGTTATCATATTTGGAAAAACAGAAACTCCTCTTACTAAACCATCTTCACCACCTGTAATTATTGAATGTTCATCTATTTTACACTAATTGAATATAATAATATACAATTGAATCAATAGAATTAGGATGACCAATTATTCTATCTTTAAAATCACCAAAATAATCCCATTTAAATAATAATAAATTACCTTCACTTGTTGATATACAAACAAATTAACCATTTTTAACCAAACAAATATCTGTTAATTCCTCTTCCATACAATCACTTTTTGCATATAAACATTTTTCATTAGTACTTTAGAATCTTAAATCATGAACACTTAAATAACCATCTAAACTTGATGAAAGTAATAAATTATTTGATGAATCTATTTCAATTCCAGAAATAGCTTCTTCAGCTTCCTTTACTTTAAATACACATTTATTTTATCTTAAATCCCATATTTTAATATTTCCTGTATCATCACCTGTAGCAATAATACTATCATTTAATTATTTAAGTGCATTAATAGCATGTCTATTTAAATAGATTATTATTATACTTATGAGCTTTGAGTTGATGTAATACCATTTTACCATTATTATCTAAGATAGCAAATGAACAATCTTTGCTTGCTGTAATTAAGTGTTAACCATCTCTAAAGAATTAACTAATTCTTGCAGATTATTAATGATGTGTAAAGGCTGCTATTTCTACTACATCATCAGATGAATATTTCAATCTTAAATTGTGGATAAAAATTATTACATATTCACAACTCCAGACACCTATGCACAACATACAACATCTTAAAAAGGATGAAAATTTAAGTCAAATAAATGATCTTTAGCAAAATAGAGAGGTGGTTCAATTACAATTTCTTATTGTTATTAAATCATGGTAATAAATTATCTTATTTTATTTAATATTTACAATACATTTATATTGTTGATTAATGTATTCATATCACCAAGTATATTCTGTTCTGAAATCGACCATTTTACTACGGTCACTACTTGGATATGATACTTATGAAACTGTAATCAATCTCTTTATTGCTTATATATATTTTCTCTAAGTTTCATCATTTAAGATGTGAGCTATTTGTGAACTTGAGATCTTTGATCTTCCAGTCCTTTCATGTATACCAACCATAGTTACACCCATAGCTAATATATTATAATATATTATTACGCCATGGAGCATTTCCAATTGCTAATTCCAAATATTTATCATATGCTCTCACATACTCCTTATATACACAAAATCGAATAATAAGATACAATGCATTCAAAATTTCTTCATTAATTGACTGAACCATTTTTGCTTTATGTAATTACTCTGTAAGAGGTTTAATGTAATCAAGAGTTTATTTATATGAATTAAATGCTTGAGATCCTTCTAAACTCCTTTTAAGAGTCTCTGTATTAAATTTATCCAACAATTTAATGTTCCATTCTCTCAACATTTTCTTACACCACATATAAACATCTTCACATCTTGTCAAAAGTGATACTCCATCCCATAATTGTTATTCAATCTCCTCCTTTCCTTTACATTAAAATACAGGAACAAGTGCAGTACTTGGATCTAAATTTCTCTCTTTAATCTTATTAAGAAACATCTTTATTTCCTCTTTATCTTCTCCTTCTAAAATTTTGATCTCTAATTCTTTTTAATTATTTTCTTTTTTTTCTTAAACAAATTCCATTAATCTCTTGTATCTTTACCAATCACTTTCCCCATAATAAGTAATTGGTTCTCCTAAATCTCTTAGTCTCTTTTGAACTTCTTTTTTTTCAATGGGAGGGAGATCTTAAGGTATTTAAATTTCATCTTATTAAATTTTATCCTTTTCTGAGTTAATACATTCTTAATCTAATCTTTTTATTATAATCTTTTCAATATCCTTAGTTTTGTAATATTCATCTTACAATTTGAGTTTCTTAACTAATTTTTCATGCTAATAATAAATAAAAAATTAAAGAAATACCTTTTCTCTTTCTCTTTCTCTTTAATCCTATTATAATTTTTATCTTTCTTATTAGACCTTTACTTTTTATTCTTAAATTGTTGCAAAATTGCCTTCTTATGATTTTTTTTGTTCAATGAGTTTTTTTAATGATAAAAATTCTTGCATTATAAAATACCTGATGTGAGTTAAGTATATTTTTAATATTTTTTTTAAGATTTTTATATACATATGAACACTCATACAATCAGTCAACCAAAACCATTAATTCGACTTATTTAACAAATAAAAACAGATTCTGTGAGTGTCTCATCTACCCAATCCTACGATTCACATTTCTCTGAGATTGAGAGACCAGAAAACCCTATGATCAAGAACTTTATAGACAACTATGAAGATGATCTCGACACCTTCTTTGATCAATTGGAATGAATGCTCTTAACTTATGATTTGTGTTATTTTGTGTTATACATTAACTGAATAAATATTGTTAATTATATATATATATACTCATAGTAACAGTGCTTATTTTAGAGGTATTAGTTACTCCACCAACTTATGTCTACTATCCCGTTTTTAGCTATAATCCCTTAGTTTCTCTATTATCTACTGACCTAATTAGTCAATTTTTAAACACAATTTATTAGCTTATGGAATCTCTAACAATTCCAACAATGATTATTCTTCATCTAATAGTTAGGATTCTAATTTTATATGACAATCCAAAGACTCCATACTTTACTTTTTACTATAATACACAATATTCTAAGATGAAACACTCTTTAAAGTTCTTTCTTTCAATTTATTTTAATGTACTACTATTTCTTCATACTATTTACAAGTTCTTTCTAGTAATGCTAATTGTTATTTGTAATCTTAAATTTTATGATTAAGATCTAAAAACAATAAATCTATATTAGTTTGATTGGTTCCACAAATTTTATTTAATTCATTTAAGATAGTTCCATTATTCTTATTGTTTTATAAGATTTCCCTATTTTATTCTTATAATTCACTCAATTATTTTAATAAAGTAGATATTAATTGATTTTATTCTTGTTTCAATACTCTGTTCTCTTCCTCAAGCTCCTTTAGTCTCGTTTATAGCTTATCCATTCGATTATCCTTTTTACAAGACATATCTGTTATATAATTAACAAGAAAATATTAATAAATTTATGTTATAGCTATCATGATATTCTATATTAATTAAGAGTTTTTAATAAATTTCAGTAACATTAAATAATTTTGTTTTCAATCATCTAATAATTTTCTTCTTCAGATTCCATATGTTATTAGATAGAACAATTTCCTTAAATGAATATAATTAATTAATTTTTCAAATATCCACCATTGATATTTAATATTGTTATTTGAAGTAATAAATTAACATTAACTAAGCTCTTTTTTTGATTATTGATCATAAAGAACTTAATTAGACAAATAAATTATCAGTTATAATGATTTTGTTAAATTATTATCTTTTAGATTAATCTCAATATATTTATATTTTTGAGGCATTGAGTATTGTAAAATGTTTTTGGATTATTCATTATTTATAATTCTTATCAATAGACTTATTTCTCATTATTGAGTATTAATTATGAAGACACTTTCTTTTTACAAAAATATATAATTTTATATATTTTAAATATAATTTTCACAATAATATTTTATATTTCTCAGTTGTTGGAACTGTATTTATTATCATATGACCACTATAACCTATTGATGCTAAAACCCATGCAGTTCCTCTTGACCAACTTAATCCATAAATTGAATCTTCATGTTCATCATACTATTTAACCAAATAATCATCTTCCTTATTTAATTAAGGAACAGAGGAAACTGATGTAATATTATATAATGAAATAGTACCATCATCAACTACATATATATATATTAAAATTACATGATAATGAAACTAATTAGTCATGGAATTTATTAAATTTTGCTTATAAAACTGAATTCTACAAGTCTTCGAATGATTTAATTGCATATTATGTTTTACGAATATCCCAAACTTTAGCTAAGCAATCTTCACCACCAGTTATTAGATAATATTATTTATTAGGATTAAAATCTATATCTAATATTTATAAACTATGTGCTTTGAATTTAGTTACTCTAATTATAATAATAATTATAATTACTTTTTTTCTCTGGTGTCTTAAATACATAAATAATTATTTTAAGATCTAACAAATAAATTCTTATGATGTGGGTCTTATTCACATAAATTATAGAGATCATTATCATCAATTATATTATCAAATGATTATTTATTCAAATCAAATTGAATAATTGATTTATTGGAACTCAAATAAATAATTGGATCATCTTCAGGACAAAGGACACTAAGAAATTTAATTAAAACTATTTACTTAGTCAATCCTTCATACAATAAATCAAAATTTACTTGATATCTTCCATTATCAGCTAATTCTATACAACAAAGTTTTGTCTTTCTTTATTATGCTTATAATTTAACTTTAGTTAATACGATCAATGTAAATAATATATAATTATTCTTTTTTTGAAATGATCTTCTCAACTAATCCATTTATTGGTATTCTATACAATTATACAATCTTTTATTCCAATTCTAAATATTCATTCACAAATATCTGTAGAAATATTTAAAATTTAATGTTACTTCATTATATTTCTTAACATTCCAAGTTCCAACAGCGAAAACATGTCTTTTGTTGAATACAATATTTGAAATACATCTGCAATTTTATTCACCAAAAGAAACTTACACAGGCTATGTTTATTAATCCATAAAATTATAATCATTAATAAATAGAGTAAATAAATTTTGAACTATTTTTTATTATTATTTCATTTCATTCCAAGTACTTTTATTTAATAAATATAAAAGACTTACAAAATGTAATACATTTATATATTAAATAATAAATCAAGTTAAATTTGAATTTTATTCCTTTTAAGGTTTGTTATCTTAAATTTTTTTAGTCACATTTTTTAAAGGCTTATTAGTGTGCATTCTTGTTTAATGTCTTTTTAAACCTGCTAAATTTTTTACTTACTTATGACATTCTGAGCATTATATAAATTTATAGTTATCAACATTTTGTTTATTTTTTTTTATTTTTTTTGTCTCATTTTATAATGGTTTGGTTCCTTACTCAATTTGAAAATCTTCATCACTTCCTAAACTAAAATTTCAAACTTATATCTTTACGTTATCTCTACAGGACTCTTCTAAATGGGTGTTGGAGAATTGTGTTTCTAAGAATTATAATCTTAGATCTAATGAGCTTGTGTGTTTTATTCTTGAATCACTCTTTCTTAATCAATCAAAGTAGGAATGATTAATTGAGGAACTTCAGTATTGAAAATGTCCAATCCTTTGGCTAATCTATCATGTTTTTCAGATAGTGTAGCACACTATTAATATAGTTAAGCAAGAGCATTTAAATGAACTGTTAATGGAACGTATTACATATTTTATTACTTAGAGAATTATTGTAAAGAATTGTTTTATAATGTGATATCCTGATAATATTTTTTCAATTTATAAATATACTGTTTTTTATTTAATTTTTAATTATTGTAAACTGTTTTGTTTAAAGTTAAGTATGCTATTTATTTATTCATTAAATATTCAAAGTTTAGTCATTTATGATTCATTGCTTCTTGATAGACCTCATAAAATAAAGACGATTTATCATTTAATAAATCACTTGGTGATCCAAACTCCTTTACTTCTCCTTTACTCATTACAACAATTCTTTATTAAATATATATCTAAATATTTACTTATCACAATGCAAAATAGTATTAATACGATGAGCTATAGTAATTACTGTATGATCCTTAAATAATCTAAGGATAGATTATTATATTTTTTATTCAGTATCTATATCAATATTGGCTGTGGCTTCATCAATCAAAACTATTTTGCTTTTCTTCAATATAGCTCTTGCAATACAAATCAATTATTTTTCACCTGCACTCATATTATCGCCTCCTTCATTTATTTAAGTATTTAATCCATTCCTATCATTAATCAATTATAATAAACAACATTCTTCAATCACCTTCATTATTTCTTCATCACTACATCTATCCAATGGATCTAAGTTTTATCTGATTGTACCAGTAAAAATAACTGGATCTTAAAGTATAGTAGTGATAGATGATCTCAATCTTTATATTTATACTTTTGAAATATCAACATCATCAATTTCAATACGACCTTGTATAGCTTCTAGTATTCTTAAAATACTAAGAGTTATAGATGATTTTCCAGCACCAGTTCTTCCTACTATACCTATCTTCTCTTGAGAATTAATTGATAAACATAAATTTCTAAGAACTAATGGAAGATTGCTTCTGTAATTTACAGAATAATTAATAAATTTAATTCGCCCTTAATTAGGCCACGATTATTCTACAGTTTTAATTTCTGTCAGATTTTCTGATTCTATTTTAGTGTATTCTAAACATCTCTCAAAAGATATCATATTATTTTCTAATAAACTTAAAGAATCAACAGTTTATTACACATTTCTATCCAAACTAGCAGCAAATGTTAATATCAACCCTGCAAAAGAAGGATTACTTGTGAATAAAATGCAATAACCAATTGCAAATGTATTTACTATTAGACTAGCAAATCCTAGAACTTATAGAAACCAAGAACTAGCTGCAGTTGAATAATTGACTATCTATTTATTATGATCTAATTTCTAAGCAAATTCCTTCATTACAAATTCCTATTGAGAGTAAGCTCTAATAGTTGTTAATCCCATTAAAGATTAAGTAAAATAACTCAGAATTGGACTTCGACTGATGAGTTCTAATCTTTGAAGTTCTCTACTAGCTTTCATATATAATCTTTAGATTTTCAAGCATATATAAAAGAAGATAATTAAAGGGAAAATGAGTAAGTAAGTACTAACATAAATACTTAATAAATTATTGCTGAGTATTTAACTTATCTTTGTTGAAAATTATGCAATATTAACATGTATTTCAACATCTAGAGAATTAATATCTTTAGTTAGTCTATTCATGATTCTACCAAGTGGTACTCTTTCAAAGAATTAACATTGAGGTGCAAAAATTAAGCAATTAATCATATCATTGTGAATTTTGGAAGAAGATTTTATACTTTATGATACAATCATAAGAGCTCTTAAATAGGCAAAAAATGATTGAATAAATCCTAGTAGTAAAAACACTAAAAAGTAAGTGATTTCATTATAATGATCTCCTAATGAAGCATATCTATTAGTCCATTCAGTTACCCATAAATTAGCCATAATTTAAGAGATAATCCAAATTAACATAATAATAAATAGGATAGATTAGTAAATAACATTCTTTTTGTATTATAAATATTTAACATATACTTCTGAATCGATTTCTCCTTTTTTTCTTTCTTCAACAGTCATTAAATCAGATTTATTTTTATTGATATTAATAAGTTATTCTTAATTTTATTCAATATCTTTTTCATTAACCAATTAAATATTAGTATTTTAAGTATACTCTTAGATCTCTTATTCTTAAATATCAAATTCAAATTTCTTTTCTATTTCTTGATATATTACATTATTCTACATTTTCTAATAATCTCCTTATTCTATGATTTCTCCCTTTTACATTAAATAAATATAATCTGTATATTTACAATAATTTAATGCATGAGTAATTAAAATTCTTGTTTTACCTTTTAATAAATTGATAAAACATTCCTTCAATATGAAATTTCCAACTTAAGCATCAACAGCACTTAATGGATCATCTAATAAGAAGATTTCTGCTTTACTATAAATAGCTCTTGCTAAACTTATTCTAGACTTTTGTCCTCCAGATAAATTGATTCCTTTCTCTCCAATCATAGTTTGATCTCCATGAATTAATATTTCTAAATCCAGACTGAGACATGAATATTTAATTGATTATTCATATAATTTCTCTTCATATGGTTTACCAAACAGAATATTTTCTTAAACAGTAGCATTTTAAATCCATGCTTTTTATCCTACATATGCAATTTGACCTGATATATTTATTTTTGGTTTAATATCATCAATCTTATAGATCATTTCTCCTAAAAGGCTTTAAATTAAAGAAGATTTTCCAGATCCAACATCTCCAATGATAGATACAAACTTCCCTTTCTCCACATTTATATTAATATTCTTTAAGATTTATTAATCTTAATTGCATTCCTTTCTCCAGAAAAAGTTGCCTTGAACAATCTCCAAAGCTGAATATGCTGCCTTATTTTTATAGGAATATATTTCATTCATTTACTCTTTGTCATTTAAGAAATTTTATATTCTTTTCAAAGATACTTTTGTTTCTAAGAGATCATTTAATGAAATTGGCAACAATTAAAGACTTGCTGCTAAAATTGACAATAATCCAATGATAGGAAAAGTCTTACTAGGAATTAGTTAATTTCCCAATAATACATATAATCCAAAAGTAAAACTTAAAATCATTTAAGGAGATAACCAACCTATAAATACATTTATTGAAAAGTATTTCAATCTATTTTATATACATTTTAATTCAATCTCTCTTAATTTATAGATTTTTTATAGAAAAAATTATTCCAAAGCGTTTATCTTAATAAATTTAATTAACTAAAAAACTTCTGTTGTTTCTTTGACTCTATTATCCTTAGACTTTAAGACTTACTTTTATGCTTTAACAATTTATTTTCCAACATAATTATTTTAAAATATACTAAAAATAATAATAACTATTCCTACTATTACTGAAATACCTATTTCTTTATAAATGTATATCAATATAATACCTAATTTAATAATAATAGTTACATATTTGTATTGGGATAATAATAATATTTACAACATTATTGGGTACTTAAATAAGTCGCTGAACATCAACTTAAAGCAAATTAGTAATTTCCCCTATAGATCTTTCAGTATTACTCAATAATGATATTTTAAGACATTTATTCATAATTTCTAAACTAATCACTGACATAATATCATATCCATAGATTTTCTTATTGTTATATACTATTTTTACCATAATGAATCTGGAATGAGACATTGATAATAAATTTATTATTCTCAATACTAATACAAGGAAAATAAGTAATAAAGCTTAATGATAATCCTTATTTGATTCATAAATAAATTCAATAATATATTTAGTTAATAATGGCATTGCTAATTGACTAAAAAGTACTACTAATTAAATGAAAAATCCTTTCAAAAAATACTCTATGTTTATCAACAAATAACGTACATAAATAATATTTTAATATCAAATCAACTAAATTATCCTTTTTATTTAGTTTTAAATGTTCAGAAAAACGTTGATGTCTATAATATGATTATTGCTAAGATTCCAATTCATTAATTAGACTTTCATCTAATCCTTACTTATTAGCTTCCTAATAACATTTAAATTCAATAAATTACATTCATTATAGGATATACATATATAAAGAATAATTATTTAAACCAAGAAGTCTTCCTTTTTATCAATCCTTCCTCAAAAATTATAGTTTATTGATTATCCCATATAATAGAGGCAGAATCCATTATTTAATTAATTTAATTTCTATTTTTACTTTTATCAAATATTACTTTTAATAATTGCAATCTTTTTTTTGTTATTTAAATGTGTTCCAAGTTATCATTTATTAATTGAGAATTTTGAATTTTATTAAATTTCAAGTTAATAATAAAAAGAGATATAAATATATACATATATCTTATAATATATATAATATTGATTAATATTATTTTATTGATTATATTTAAAATTTGAATTGAATTCAATTATCCTCTTTGCAAGACTGTCTTTGTTAAATTAGTTAATATATCATATTCTATAATAAATTCTATAATAAATTCAAGACTACTATCTATGAAATGAACAAAATTTCTTATTTTAACTATTTAACATTAAGAATATAACCATATATAAAATTGCTAAAAATAACAAAAAGATGATTTCATGAAGGATGTCAATCTATTAATTCAACTAAATTAATTTTACTATTCAAGAAACTTGAAAGTAAATGGAATTATTGTGATAACAAAGTTTTATCGAAATACAAAAAAGTAACAATAATTAAACCAGGTGCGTTATAATATATGATACTTTTTTAATCTCTATAGAATTCTCTAATAAGACTACAGAAGAATGGTAAAAATGAATTCAATAATAAGTTTAATGAATTTAATAAAATTAAGAATAATTTTGAATCGATATTATTAAATAATAAACCAATTTAAATTTACAATTAAGCAGGCAAACCAAACAAAGGAATCTAATACCATTTTTATTTTTGTGACTATATGTCCAAAATAAAATATAATTTCTTTTATATTTGTTTATATATAATTATATATATATAAATTTATCATTAAGAGAGTTTCCAAATTTTAATAGATTAAGTAGAAGTAGCAATAACAAATTAATTTTACTTTAATATTATTTCAGAGCCAGGAGCACCATTATTTTCATTTTATAATGTTAATATAGGTTTGTTTTATTTGATATCCCAAATCTTAATTGTATAATCATTACAAATGGATCCAAATAATTCTTAATTCTAAGAAATAGAAATGCTCCATATCCAATTCTTACTATGACCAATAAATTCTCTAATTAATTCATAATTATTGCTATTCCACAATTTTATTAATCCATCATAACCACTTGATATCATCAATTAACCATTCTACAAATAATTAATTGATGATCCACCATATTCACATTAATGTCCTTTCCATTAATGAAGTATATTTGCTGATAATTAATCATAAACAATAATAAATTCATCTCCACCTATAGTTGCAATTCTATTAGATTTAATAGATATTGCACAACCATAGACATTTGAAGTATGTCCTTTGTATATTTGTTATTATAATTTCTTATCAATATTCCATAAAATTGCTGTTTTGTCTGCACTACTTGATAATAGAAACCTAGAATCCTCACTGAATATTAGTCTATAAACGTAATTAGTATGACCTCTTAATATGATTGGAGGTAAATTCCAATTATTGGGAATCCAACAATAAATTTCAAAAGGTTTTGATCCTCCAGCTATTAAATATTTATCATCTGGAGAGAATCTAACACTATATACTTATTAAGTAGATATCAATAATTCTTGTTAACAATTGGCTGATTTAAAATCAATTATTAGAACATATTTATCACTACCTCCTATTGCTAATAAATCTAATTTATTTGAAAAATCAACAGATGATATTTTTTATAATTATTTTTTATAGAATTATTCTATAGGTTCTATCTTATTAAATTATTCTTTCTTTAATATTTCATTATAATTCAAGATATCCTAATATTTACTATTTTATTATTTAAAATATTCTTTAAATTCTTAAATCTAAACATTACATAACTAAATGCCATATTATTAAAATAGACTTATATCTTCAGTGAACAATATTGTTTATTTCAACAAGTTGTCTGAGTATTATTGAATGGTCTTAAAATTATTTGTATAAATCTCTTTTTTCCAAAAATATTAACCAAAAAAGCAATCTAAATTACCAATCACCAAATCTCTAACTGCATTATATTCTTCTAAATTTAGTTTTTCATTCTTTACATATGTTTCAACTAAAAGCTCTAATAATGATTCTTCCCTTTACATCTTACAAATATCTTTAAGTTCTTGCATTATTAATTACAGCTTTTATTGGAGTAATTGAATTGATAATTTAATCCTTTAACAACTAGTTTTGTAAATTTTATTATTCTATTCTTTTTCTTGCTCATATGCTTTTATCACCAATTCATCTAATTGTTTAACTTCTATACAAGAATGTTATAAATGATTTCCATATCTACAAACTTCACACATTCCTTTCTCTATTTATGTACAACTTGGGTCAATGCAAACATACTACACTTATTGATGATCATGATCAATTTGAGTGCATTCAATTGAATGTCTTAACTATTGCATACTAAATATTTTAATTAAAATGAAAGAATTCAATTATTTAAATTTGAAAGTCTAGTTGATAATAAAGAACCTAAAAAAATTAAACTACCCTTTATTTATAATATAGATCATTATCTATTGTAAAAATAGATCTAATCCATTAATGTTGTTTTTTATTTGTAATCAATCATGATTAAGAACTATTAGACATGATTACTTAAAAAGTAAAACTACAACCCTTTTATATAGATATACCTATATTTAATAGGATGAATAGTGATATATCTACTTTATTGATTTTTTTAGTTATCTTTATATATAATCATTAATTTGATTTAATATAGGAGTTAAATGATTCATTTAAAATGTAATAAAAATAAAAAGAAATATAATGATATATAGAATTAATTATATTTGTAATTTAAAATGAGAAAATAATTCTGATTCTAGCAAGATTTAGTTTAATATTTATGTAGAAATTTTTATTTTTATTTTAATAATTATTATAATATATAAATATAATGGATCAATTTGAATAACAAAAGGAAAGTTAGAATACAGGAGAAGATGGAAAGGCTATAAAAAAGAGAATAAAGAAATAGAAGGCAAAAAAGTAACCTGTTAATGAGTAACCTATTGAAGATTGTAGTATTTGTTATGGTTAAATCGTTGATAAAGTATAATGAATATGATTAATAATAAAAGGGTATAATTTAAACATGTTAGCATTCGTATTGTTTTAAATGCATTGAGATTTGGGCAAAATAGAATTTAACTTGTCCACAATGCAGAGTGTAATTTAGTCAGATTTTAAGAGTATGGAAATAAGGAAAAGGAAAAAGATAAAAATTGTATGATTATCATGCAAATGAAGTTAAATCAGATGATGATGAATTAATTTCTCTGAATTTTTTGTATTAACCAATTAGATTAATGCCTTTTTTTACAAGGATTTGGAGCCTACCTTTTGTAAATTTGGTATTACTAAATTCAGATTCAGAATGAATAAAAATTTACATAATGGAATTATTTACTAATTGAATATTGTAATAGTGAATGGTTAATTCATTATTATGATTATTTTTTTATTTATTCTTTAAACATATTAATTAAGATTCAATATAACTACTCCTGAAGGGAATCCATCTGAATTTATAACCCTTTAGACTTATTAAACAGTGAAATTGAAAGTGGAAATAGGAAATTATTAATTAGACTAAGAAAAGATATTACTTTATATAACTGATGATATTTCACATGAGATAACTAAATCATGCACTTTAAAACTTATGAATAGATAAGTAGGTGAATTGAAAATATATGTAAATGCAACAAATACTGAAGAAAAATCAATATTGACATCAATAGCAATAGTATTATTAATTTGTAATTTCATAGTCAGCAATAATAATATCACCAGCAAGAGGAATATTAACATAGCCTAATCTCTTTCCAATAATATTGAGTTAAAAACTTATTGAATCATATATGATGCCATTTAATCTACCTACTAATAAAATATACAATTTAGATATAATAAATGATGATTTAGAGAAACCTCCTCAAAATTTAACTCCATTTGGATAAGAATTTTGGTAAGAATATTAAGAAAAAGATATATCTATAATAGCATTAACATGGATTCCATTTATGGGTAATTGTAAAGATTAGGGTTATTACTTATATTTTTATAATCTATTAGAAAATGCAACATTCTGTAATTTGATAGCATAAGAAGATACAAAAGTAGTAAATATGGTACCAACAAATGGATTTAATGCTAAAGGAGATTCTTGTAATATCAATTTGGAATGTTATTTCTTAGAGAATTTGATGATAGAATATGAAGGAAATAAATGGTGGTAATCAGAATAAGATTCTCTATTCTATATAAGTAAATATGCTTTGAATTATAAAATTTTGGCTGAAAATTCAGATGATTCTAAAACTAATTATTTCTATAATATGATATAAGCATAAGATGAATCCTTAATTGCTGTTTAATTTATTACTTCTGGAGTTATCAAAAATAGTTATCCAACTGAATTTACATTACAAATTCTCTATAATTAAATATCCTAAACTGAAAAATAGATTGTATCTGCAATAATAACAGCTTCAAATTATCAAAAAGTAACATCAATTATAAATAAATATACATTTAATATTGTATATCGTCCTATGGATTATTTAGAATTAATTAATTCCTTTTAATTTGATATCACTTTATATTTAGTTTTATATCTTGTAATAGGAATTTTAATAAATATAGGTATATTTGTAATCTGGGTAATCAATAAATCAATTTCAATAATTCCTGATCCACCTAAATTGAGAATTTATTAAACATTTATTGTTGCTTTCCTACCTCCTATTACTGGAGTCATAAGAGCAACTATTCCTATTATTATATATGTTTTAATATTAGATAATCTATTTGCTCCTGATTTATTTTCAGGAATAACATATAATTATGATGGATTATCTACTGATTTTGATAATGAATAATAATATTAAAAAGGAAGAGTTGGACTTATGTTAGTTGTATCTGGAATCATTATAATGAAAATAGCTTGTAAATTGTGTATTCCAAAACCAATTGATGAAGATTGGGGAATTATTAGATCTAATATTGAAAAGAAAAATGAAGAGAAATTTTATGATTTTAGTATTAGTGAAGAAGAATCTAAAGAAAGTCCTATGAAATAAGATGAAATCAGAGAAGCTTAAGTTACTTCCAAAAATGTTGAAAATAATCTTTAATCAAATAGTATCAGTAGATAAGGCTCCTTATTTTCAAAATAATAACCAATTCCAGGATCTGCTCCTCCTATGGCTAAAGAAAAGGAACCAACCATGCCAAAGAATTCACTATTCAAAAAAGCCACTATTCTTAAACAAAGTAGTTCTATCAAAGATAATTAATCATTGAAGGATTCTATAAGTCCTGTCTAACTCTTACAAAGATAGTAATAATTTATATATATTAATTTTTTACAGAAATTCATCTGGAAATCCAATTGATAAAAAGTAATCAATATTTAATTAAGCCTAATAGAGTCAATAACCATAAATAAATCAAAATTAATAAGCAGATGAAGAGGATATTATAGATAAATTAAAAGATAGTTTAATAAGTAAAGATTATCATTATTAATTAATTTGTATTATGATAGCTGCTTTATTATTATTCTTTCTTGGATTTTCATATGAATAATTATTTTATAAGAATATATATTACTTTTTGATTGTCCTCTAATTTGTTGAATCTTTTGTATATTGGCTTTTAAGTGAATATCTATTAGAAGAATAAACACTTATATAACCTTTGATGGCATGCTTGGAAGTAGTCCAATTTATAATGTTTATGGCTGCTGAATCATTCTAAGAATTTGTTATCTCTTTTGTAATTAGACTTTCCTTAATTATTGTATTCAGAACTTATATTAATCCTGTTATTAGAAATTTCAAACATTTTAAAAAGAAGCTTATGAATTTTATGAATAAATGGCAACCTTTCTTTAGTTTAGAATCAGAATAAGAAAAATAACCTGAAGATAATATCTCATTTTATTTAGGATAACATACTGATTCTAAATTTACAGAAGATTAATCAATTGAATATGTTATCTAAATGACTTTAGGTTTCAGTAGTAAAGTTCATGCAATCTTTATTAAACCTATTGTTTTAGTATTCATCAAATTATTTGAAAAAGAGTCTTAAATTACTAATAATTACTATATTGGCTTTAGAGAATTTAATTATTATATTTACTTTGCTTTTTTTGTTATAATTCCTCAAATCTTTATAGATATTTATGTTTTGAATAGTTTAGAAATGATTTATGGATTTAAATTATTTGATTATTTTGATTATTGTAAATATAGAAATGATTTCAGAATCCAAAAATTCTTTGAACATTCCTTAACTTATGATCGTAGTATTGATGCTTAATATAGATCTATAGATAATATGAAATTTACAGATTAATTTTATTATAATGGTAGTTTAGTTATATATAGTATACTCCTTTGTATTTTAGGGACTACTATTATGATTAGAAATAATTATGTATTATATTAAGATCCTGCTATTTTCTTAATCATTTTATTTATCTATATATTTATTACTTTACTTCAAAATATGATGTTGTATATATGGAATAAAATAGATGTTTGGAAGATTAAAGATACAAAGTAAAAATTAAATTTGGATTCATTAGAAGAATTTCTTAATCCTGCAAAAGAAAATATTGAATAAATTATAGAGGTTGATGCATTTAAAAAACATTTTATCAAATTAAATAAAGATTGGTTAGTATCTAATATGGAATTATTTATAAATGTAGATTAATTTACATAGCATGATGAATTTCTATTATAAACATATTAATTATTATTGAATGATGAAAGAAAAGCATAAAAAGAGATTATTAGAAATGAATAAATGATTAAAAAATAAAAAGAATTAGAATTGAAATCTAAGAAAAAGAGAAGAAAAACATCATAATCATAATCTATCATTAAGTCTTAAAGAGATATTGAAGAAATAGATGGATATTAACATACTATTAGAATTAAAAGATCATAGGTTGAAAATTTAAGAAAGATATTATCAATTTGGTATTATAAGGCAAAATAAACACTCTTTTTAAAATATTTAGTATCAGATGTATTAGCTTAAAATTAAGCTGAACATTGTAAAAGATGTGGTTTAGATATAGAATTAAGAGTTGTTGAATTAATACCATTTGAAAAAATGTCAAATCAATTTAAATATAGAATTATGGGTACTCCATTTAATAAATTTGAATGGATTAAATATTATGAAACTCATTAAAAATTTGTTACATTATGTATTGATTGTGAGAATGCTTATAAAAGTAGATTTTTATAAAGACAAAATTAAAGTGCTAATGATGTAGCTAAATTGGCTTCATAGAATTTTGTTGCAAAAGCATTTGTATTTAAATGGCTTTATGCTGCGAGAGCTAGGATGTTACATAAAAAATCATTAACAGTAGAAAAATTAACCTATTGATTTATATTAACATTTTTAGTCTAAATATAAATTATATATATCAAACTTATTCAAAATTTTTTAAGTTGTTCATAATTTTATTTGCTACTCTAGGTTATGTATGTTTTTCAATTATTTGAGTAATCAAAATAGGAGTCCTAATCTCAAGACCTTTTGTATTACTTTCTGGTGTTTTCTATTATTATAATTAAATTTAATAATACTTTGATGACAGGAGAAGTGTAATAAGATGAATTATTTGAATCCACAACTTATTTTAATTTTCCTATTAATTAATATTGAGGTAATTTATGTGATTGAGGAGATTCATCTTCAAACATCATATCACTAAATTCATCTTCTAAATTTTTAATTGAAATCTATTGTTCACTATCTTTAAATTATTCTTATATAGATTGCATTATAGTATATTATGGTGTATATAGAACATTATTTTATTTATTATTTGGATGTGAAATCTATGGAGTAGAAAATTCAGACTTCTCACAAGTATAAGGACCAACAAAGTTTTTCATAAATCCACTACTTCCTAAATCAGTTAAAGTAGATTTAGTAGTTTATTTAGTATATTAAATTTATTCGTCATTATTATTCAATTCTTTATATCTTTTTTCATCTAAATTGAGCATAAACCATTCATGTTTTAATGCATCTTTAGGATTTGGTCTTTATGATGGTCTATGATGTAATAATAGTTTTAGTAATTATAAGCCTAATTTTAATATACAAATATACATTAAATAGATATAATGGATTCAATAGATTGATAATCAATTTTACAATGATAATTACGCATCACTACTTCATCATAAGTAGAACCTTTGAATGGTGATTTACCAGCTAATAATAAATACATTAGACATCCAACACTAAAAATATCCACTTTTTAATCATAAATTTTGTCTTATAATACTTCTGGTGCAACAAATCCAGGAGTACCACATCTTTAGAATATATAATTTCCTAATGGATCATAAAAATCAGCCAATCCAAAATCAGTAATTACTATATCATCCAATATTCCTTTTTTTCTTAATATCAAATTTTCTGGTTTAAGATCTCTATGGAGTATACTTTTCTTATGTAAATACTCAAGAGATTCTAATAAAGTGGCTATTATTTTAGCCACAGTATTTTCTGGATATTTGTTATTTTTTTTAATATTTTAATATAATTCTCCACCTTATAAATATTCTTGAATTAAATAAATATGTGTCTCATCTTCATAAACTTCATACATTTTTATAAGTCCCTTATAATTCAATTTACGTAAAATAGATATTTCTTTCAATAAAGCTAATCTATCTGTTTCAGTATTTATCAACTTACTTTTTTCAAAAGCCTTTACTGCAAATTATTATTTATCAGATTTTTTGTTACAAAGATACACCTAAAAATAATAGAAAATTCTAATACTTTAGCAAAGTTTCCTTTTCCAATCATTTTTTCAATTATATAATCTTATTTGAATGTAATCTATAGAGATTATTTTTTCAATTCATCCCAAATTTTTTGATTCAATTCTTTTGATCTTGAATAGAATTCTCTACAAATTTGATTTCTAATAATTCTAAAACCATATTTCTTCTAAAATTCATGTATATTATATATATACTCTATTACAACTCTCTTTCTCTTGATTATTTTGATATTTAATTTTCTCTATTTTACTCTTATTCAGATTGATCTAATGAATTGTGTTTTTATTTGGCTTAAAACATATAGAATAATATAATTTACTCTCAATTTGATTAATTTAGAATCAAGAATTATATAGTTTCTGCTTACCCAGAATCCACTTTTTCTGCTTTTCTAAAACAATATATATTGATGTTCATTTAAGTCAATATTTATTTTCTATGTTGACTTTTCCCAAAATGAACAATCAATAGTCCGCTCATCAAAAAATGACTTGTCAAACTTACTTTACATTTAATTATTAAATATATTTTAGTAATTATAAGTCACTATTTCTTATTTCCGATTCGAGAATTAATCATTTCATTCAAAATCTCCAATTTCTAAGTCATCATTCTATTAAATTTTTCATCCTCACCTTTTACACTACCTCTACTTAAGGGTTCTTTTACTTAAGATGGTGTCTCTACCTTCTTTAATTAATTCCGAAATTAACTCAATGGTGTAGATTACTCTTCTTCAATTGTGGCTTCAATTAAAGGTTCTGCTGATAAATATTTCTTATTCTTTGGAGAAGGAGATTTAACTTAAGCCTTATCCAAATTATGTATAATAGAATAAAGTGTTCTACCTATTTGTCTACTAATTTCATATTGAAAATTATCATATTAAAATTGAATATTATCTTCAATATGTTATGATTATTGAATTTATTCATATTCAATTGAAATTGATTTCTTTGCTTCAATTAAATTCTTATTATTTAAAATACAATTCTTAAATTTTTAAATACTCTCATTAAAAATGAGTTGCATCTCTTCACACATTGAATTTATCATAGTTTAAATTGTATAAAATTCTTCATTCAAATTTGGAATTGATTCAGATTTCTCTCTTCTATAAGAATTATTAGAAAACTTTGTCTAAGTTGATTTCATTGAATTAACATTCTATTATTATTTTGGTTTGAATTTATCTGGTTATTTAACTCTTACTTCTTCTATTTATAATGTTTATATCATAAATTATAGAGTATCATAATCTTTGCAAACATCAAATACTGTATCTTGATTCTATAATAATATGATAAAATACAATTATACTTTATTTAACAGTTAGATATTAGCTTTAGCATTCAATAATAAAGCAACTGTCTCTAAATTTCCTCTCTACGCTGCAATCATCAAAGGAGAAAATCCTTTCTTGTATATTCAAAATTAAATACTTTATCTTACTAATTTACATCAGCACCTTGATTCAACAGAAAATCAGCAGTTCTACGATAATTATAAAATGAACAAATCCATAATGGTGATTAATTTAACTATTATATCAACCTTAATAAATTACTCTATTTGTCTTATTAATATCTGCTCCTTAATTTATTAATTTCTCTATCATTGCTCCATCATTTTTACGACATGCTATTGTCAAACAAGTTTATCCTGACTTTACATTTTCCAGATCTATTAAATTAGGATATTATTGCAGTATTTCAATCACTTTATTAACATTCCCTTATTCAACCTTTAAAAATAAGACTTAAGCAGTGCTATTCATTAAAATATTATATTTTTATTATATATATAAATTCATTCAGTAATAATAGATTCCCCTTTATGAATCCATCTAATTCTCTTTCCTTATTCCCAAATACCTTATTTCTCTACATTCGATTCCCCTATATAAACTCCTATTCCATGTTATTTCCCATTTTACCATTATCCACGATAAATCTAATTATTAATATAAACAATACTCTTCCATCAGGCCATTTAAATTCTCCATAGCCTTCCTTTTTATCATTTTTATATTCTCCTTTATATCTTCTACCATCTATCCATGTAAAAATCTATTTCTTAAATTTATATATATACTCCTTAACCATCCATTTTATTATTCTTCCAAGCTCCTATAAACTTTCTACCATCAAACCATGTATACTCTCCATAACCTTAGATCAAATTGTTATCAAAATCTCCAATATATTTAGAACCATCCTTCCATTAAAATTCTCCATGACCATGTTTTTTACCCATAGAATATTGACCTTTAAAAATGGAATTATCTGGCCAAGTTTCAATACCATCTCCATGTTATTTATCATCCAACCATTAACCTACATATTTTGCACCATCAGCATGTATATAGGTTCCCCTATTATCCATAATAATTTACATATCCATTAGCTTTATCATTTAACCATTCTCCAACATAAACATCACCACCACAATGAATTAATCTTCCAATACCTTAAGCAGAATTCTTTTGCCATTAACCTTCATAAATTGATCCATCTATCCATATTTGAGTACCATAACCATGTTTTAATCCATTTTTGTATTAACCATAATATACTGTTTAATCAGTATATTCATATGGTCCTAATTTAGGTAAATCTGGTTCTGAGATTTCTTGAAATGGTCCTTATTCATCATGTACTTTTTTTGTTTTTTCATTAAGATAATTAGGCATTTTGGATAATTTAGCAACCATAGTCAAAGGTGCATGTTCATTATGACAATGATATTGATTTTTCATAGATTTCATGTCTTTTCTAATCTTTATTCCTCTAAAATAAGATTGTATTTTGATTGCAGCTCTTTCAATTTAAATAGAGTTATTTTATTAGTCTGTAACTAAATTAATTTGTGGGTTCTATCGATCTAGCATTTAATTCCCATTACAGCAATTTCCCATTATATTATTAATATAATAATATATAACAGTCAATATCATTATAAAAGTAATGAAAATAAATTTTCAACAAAATTGTGCTTAACACAATAATTAGTGACTTCTTTAGCAAAATTATCAAATCTAAAAGTACCTCCTCTTTCTTCCATAATTAATAAAACAGGAGCAACAATTTGTAACATCTCATAACTCATTTATGATAAATCAACTTAATCAGTACTCAGTTCTCCCTTTTATTCCTTATCAAGTATATTAAATAATCTTTTCAAGGAGGCTCTCCAAACTTATTAAACAACACTTTAATCAGCACATGGTAAATTTAATACAAAAGAATTATTATTACTAAAAATGATTAATACTAATTATAATACTCTGGTGTTTTATTATAAATATCCTTGTAGTTTTTACTTACACTTTTTTCATTTAAAATCTCATGAGATCTCTAAGTAGTCTTGGGATGATATGTAAATGATTTATTTGATAAATTTTAAGATTATTATTTTTGCATTCTCAACTCATATAATTTAATTTCTTTTCTCTTACCATAATCGATTAATCTTTATTCTACACTATTATCTAATTTTTTTTATTTCTATAAATATTGTATCATAAGTTTTACAACTATCTATTCAGAATTTTTATTGATTTATGGAGTAAATGTCAATTCATTTTCATCTCTAGTCTTCAACTATTTAATTTCTCTTGCACTATTATCTCTCATCATCTTACTAACTATGATATAAATTCATAATATTATACCATCTTATGAGAAATCTCTACAATGTGATCTACTACTTATTAAAGGACTCTTCTTTTAACAACTTTGAGTTGAAATCTAACTATTCTATTTATAAGGAGTTGAGTTTGTAGAATTTCTGAAATAATTTGATTTCTAATCATGGATCACTTTCTATTCATTATTTATAGTGTGTTATGCTTATTATTTATGTTACGATATGCTATCAATCAATTTCAATAGATAACGTCCAGGAAGATCATGTTTTGATACAAATGTTATTCCTAAATCTCTTGGATCATCATTTTCATAAATGTAAATCTAATCTCTTTCATCTTATGTGATCTCTACTGTCTATAATCAATCATTGTATATTTACCATAATTGCTAATAAAGTCCCATTATTATTTTGCATTTAATATATTATTATTAATCTAACTCAGATTTTTATATTAATATATATAATAATTTAATCTAGATCAACCGCTACTTTTAACAAATTTCAAAATTATTGGAGTAGTTATCACTCCTATTGCAATTAATCCAATTAAAATAATACAACACATTTTCTAAATATATAAAAGTCATCTTTTACTTTACGACTTTTCTTATGGATCTCTTATTCCTTAGCTAATATTTTCTCTCCTTTTTCAATGTAATTCTTGGCTTTATTCAAATTTTATTCTACTCTCTATTATAATTTAATACCTATGCTCTCTATTTATTCTCCTTATTAATTTACTAAAAATGCTATCTCTGATAACATTTGAAAACAATACTAAGTACTCTTAATATTCATTATTTATATATAATACCTTCTCTAACTTTTAAATATCTTAAAATTTATCTTAAATATCTTAAACTCTATAAACTAATTATAAAGATGGTTAACCTAAAGTCTCCTTTAATACCATCTTTTCTAATCCTTAAGGATCTGAAATGATATCTGTTTTCTATTTTTCTGATAAATTAGGTTCTAATATTTCTAACTATTAAATATGAATTGCAATACTTATCTTTTCATTTTCTTTTAAATAGTTTTGTTATAATTAAATATTGTATTCTAACCAGATTATAATATAGATGCCACTTCCTATTATATTGCCTTTTAATTATAAATCATAGCTCTTGTTTCTGGTTCATCAGGATCACCTTCTTTAACTAATTTATCTATTTCTTCAAATAACTTTTTAATTTCGGTTGTATTCTTATTTATTTATATTTGTAATTATTCAACTTTCTTCATTGATTCTATATAGAGATATTAATAAAATATAACCTTTCTCTTTTTAAGTAGATGCTGCTGTTTAAATAACTTCAGTTAATCTACTAATTTCTTCATTGTTATTTCTTATTAATTGTAATTTCATTCTAATCATTGAACTTTTCTTTTAAAAATCAGGCATCATTTCAGCTATTGATTATCTATTGGAAGGTATCAATTCTATAGTTATACCATTCTATTGAGCTGTCTAAAGTAATTAATAATAGTTATATTACTTCTTTTAACTAATAGTATAGATCATTCATTTATTAAATAATATATATAAATGTTAGATTAGCGTCAAACATTAAGTGATATAAAAAAGCTTAGAAATACTCCTTACATTTATTACAAATAATACTAATCCATTGACAATAACCAATAATAGGATTTAAAATAAGCAAAAATGATTGCCAGGCCTAATGTTAGGTATTTGATGATTGAATTTCTGAATGTAGATCCTCTCATTTATAAACAGACATGATAACTTGTCCAAATTGTAACAAGAACAAAAAAAATTTAGACAATCAAGTCAATAACGAGAAAGAACTAAAACTTAATCAAATTATAGAGCCTTCAGTCTAAATTAAAAAGCACCTTCTAATTCTAAAAGTCAACCTGATTTGACTGATGAAAATTAAAGTGTTTTCGTACCTTATAGACAAAGAAACATTTCATAAAATAGTATCTCGATTTCATATGATAATTCTGAAAAAAAAAAGAGCTTTTTACCAAATATGAATAATTAAGATCCAATGTTATAAACTTTTGGAAAATAAGTTATCATCCTTAAACCAAAGAGATTTCCTACTGAGATATTTTAAGGAAATGTCAGCAAGATGAAGAAGCAATTCTAATAAAATTATTGAAATATTTATTTATAACTAAATATAATGGAAATCTCTTTTGATTTCAATCTTAAACTATTTCAATAAATAGGATATGGAGCTTTTAGTTAAGTCTATCTTGGAGAATACGATTCTAAAAAAGTAGCAATTAAAGTAATCATATTTTTCAATTTAATAGGTAATCGATCCTTGTTACATTGAATAATTTAAAAAGGAAGTTGAAATTTTGGAATCCATCCGTCATTAAAATTTTGCATAATATTATTATGTATTAAAATATTCTATTTAAAGAGCAAAAAAACACAAAATTCTTTATATATTGTCTAAGAATTTTTGGATGGCAAAACACTGACTTAATTGATTAAAGCTGTTGAAATGGAAGAAACTCATATAAAACAAATTATTAAAGAATTACTTAATGCAGTATCTTATCTACATTCTTAAGATATTATACATCGAGATATCAAACCAAGTATTCTATCTATATCTAGTAGATAATATAATTATTACGACTGAAGGATAACTCAAACTAATTGATTTTGGACTTAGTTCCCATTCAGAATCCAAACTATCTTATGATAAATGTGGAACTCTCTTGTTTATGGCTCCTGAAATGATATTTAAATAACCTTATCTTAAATCTGTTGATATCTGGAGCTGTGGAATTATTGCTTATTAACTTATAAATAAGAAACATCCTTTTTGGGATCCATCAGAATCTATCTCAACTTTCATATAAAGAGTTCAATAATTCAATCCTGATTTATCTGAAATGAATGATTATCAAAAATCTTTCTTTTTAAAATGTGCTGCATATTCACCTGAAGCAAGAATGAATGCCAATCAGGCTATATAACATCCTTGGCTATCAGGTGAAGGAGAATTATGGTAGCCAATTACTATGGCAGATATGAAAAAACTATTTGATAATAAGATGAAAACAATTTAAACTATTAAAGCTTTGATGATGATTAAATATTTAGTATAAAAATTTGGAACTATTATACCAAACGAATTTAGTAATTGTGAATTTAATGACTCAACCGCAGATACTAATATCAATTTTAAATTAAAACTTGTAAGAAGTAGTTCTCGAAATCCTATATTCATTAAATAAGTTCGTAGCACAAGTACTATATTCTTTGAAAGCAATAATTTGCCATCACCTATTAGATTTACATATAATAATAAAAGAGTTTCTATTTCTCCAAATAAAACAATGATGCACTCAGAAATAACTTAATTTAATTAAATTGCAAAAAGAAACACATAAGTCATAAAACTACCGTAATTTTATTTTGTTAATTTAATATAGTCCTTTATCAAATTCTCCTGTAATGAAAAAACAAAGAAAAAGCAATTTAAATTTTAGATTAAAATAATATTGAAATTGTTTAATGATATATATTAACTATGTTTTAAGATAATGAATAGCCAGTCTATTCATGAATATAAAGTAATTCAATAATATTAATTTTGATTGATTAAAAATTATTAATTTTTTATAATTATTAGGATATAACAAAATGAAATAATTATAAAATTTATACTCATTTATTGGTGGTAATAAATGTTTTGGCAAAATAAAACTCTTAAAGAGATTTAAGACATTTATCATTTAATCCTTATGGTAAAGAAGAATCATGTGAAGAAGACCCTAGTTAAGTAGTCACAAATGATCCAATTTAAGATTTAATCTATAGACATACTTCTCTATTGGCTTAAAACTATTTAAATCTCATTCTTCTATATGATTTTAATACTTAACATTCAAGTGCAAAATTACTTTAGGAAATAGATTTTTATAAAGTAATGGGGGGAATAGTACTATGACTTTTTGTTTAAGATTATTTCTTTTACTTCAACAATTCAATTTATTTTTTATGAAAGATAAACATATTTTCAGATTATTATGGTGTAATTTTCTTACTTAGTAAATTATTGGAATTAACAATATCAGTAGTTGTAATCATACCTTTCTATTGAGATCTAAAAATCTTGGAGTTAAATGTACTAGTGTCTCTATATAATTCATCAACTGTGACTCTTTCAGTATTAGTAGAATCAGGATATTGTAATTTTTCCATTGCTTTGTCTTGTTTTTGTATATTTTCGAATAAGTACTTCTCCCTTCTTTGTAAGTAAGACTTAATTACAAAAGATTTCTCTTTTAAAATTTTAAGAAAATCAGGATGATTTTTTCTTACAATATTAAAAGCATCACTTTCCATATAATAAGCAAGAGTATTATCAGAAGTCATACAAGAATAGAGTCTTACAGGAATGTTGTCTATAAGTTCTGCTTCTCCAACAAAAGAGTTATCGGAAAGTTATGAAAGAGTAACTTTCTTTTTAGGTTTAATTTTGGATTAAAAAATAGATGGTTCTTTAATTTTACCATGTAAAGCATCTTCATTATATGATCTATAAATTTCTACTCTTCCTCTAACAATCAATAAAAAGAATTTAGGTTCATCTCCTTCTTTCCATAAAATGGTTTATGGGGCAAATTCAATTTTTTAAAAATATTAAATAAACTTGGTAACAATAAATTTACTGACACCCACAAAAATACTTAAAAAGTATTCAAATGTTTGATTCTTTTCTTTAATAGATCTTTCTCCAACGCTTTTAAAATCTAATCTATTCATAGTTAAAACATGAAGTTCATCTGATAAAACCAAAATGCTTGCAGTACGTGGTTTATCAGAAGATAATGCCATATCACCAAAGGCTTAACCTGAGTAAAATTAAAAGACTTTTTTATAAAGACATATTCCATCTTTGAAATACATATTATTGATTTCAAATGGATTCTTTTATGAAGCTAAAAGTAATTCCATTTAAAGATCTTAAGCCCTTTTTTTCTTTTTAAATATAGTTTCATAATCTAAAATTTCTTCTTCAAAAGGATTCATGTTACTTTTATATGTTTCAATAACTTCTCTATCATTAGCAATTTCTTCTTAAGACTTTGATACAAACACTCCAACTTCACCAAGTAATATTAAATAAACTTTGTCCCCATATTCCCCATAATTAAAAACAATTTGTCCTTTACTAAATTATTCATATTTGAAATATGAACAAGCTTAAGCAGCGAATTCTTCTATTTTAGTTCCTTCAGGACAGTTCTTTTTTAGAAATTCAATTTAAGACATCATTGGAGCAATCTCCTCTAAAAGTGATTGTTATGTAATTCTTGTATATGAACGGAATAAATTGAGAGGAATCTTCAAGTTCTCTTCATTTTTCTTTCTTTATTGATTATCATCCACTTTTTGATCTTATATTACAGACTTCTTCATATTCTTTGTTGATTAATTCATTATAACAATAATAAAAATTATCAATAATTATCCAATCTCTATTGATAAACTACATAGTTCAACTAGTATACGTTTCATATAAAAATAGATCCATTTAAAATCAAACATACTCAAATAACTACAATCAGTAATATTCACCATCATCCCTAATATTATATTTATTATATTACATGTAATATAATAATCTTATTATCATTCTATGGATCATAACTCAATCCATAATTATAATGATAATAAATATCCTTTTCTCTTTATTTTCATTGTTACTTGCCATTATTATTTTATCCTTTAATTTAGACTATGTCAAAAGTATTAGACTAGTTTCGCAATCTAATTTACAAATATTCTATACATTTTCAATACAATTGATACATAATCTTTTATGTTGGAAATAATTAAAGGTATAAAACTTTTCATTGTAATACTCTATCTTCAAAAATTTTAATATACAAATCTTTATCATATAAAATTCTTATAAAATAATACTATATTCTACTTCAGAGTATTAAGGATAAAAACTAAATTGCAATGAATATACAACTTTTACTTACTTTGTATTGATATTATTGCTGATTATAATAATTAATAAGTTAATGAGTATCATTAATAACACTTCTTCTTTTTAAAATGATAGTCAATTATTGTATTGATCCTAAATAATTACTGGAAATTCTTAGAGAGAAATATACATATTATTATTAATTGTTAATCTATAAATATGTGAGCAGATAAGAATGAATTTATTTGTTCTCTAAAAAATATACATTTAGGCAGCTAAAAAATTAGTTTTAGTAATATTTTCTATATCGGAAACAGAGAGGATTTTATAAATTCATACCTTTCTCTTAGTATTTATATTGTATAATCCTTTATGATTATTTAATAGAAATAAGAAGTGATTGTTTTTATGTGAATCATTATTGTAATGTTATTATGATACAACTTTGTATAAATTCTATTTATACACAATTGTGTAGTAGGATTTTCAAAATAACAAATAATTTTTTTTATCTTTTTTAAAAGGTATCAATTATATTAATAATGTGTATATATAAATGAAAAATAAATATAAATAGATCAATTTAGTTTAAATTAATGATCATCATATTTTCTTTATTTGCTCTATATTTTGGATTGAATTTGATAGATATAGACATATTCTTATATGGAAATATTATATTCAAAATAAAAATGATAATTTATTCAATGACAAGTAATATCAATAAATAAAATCCAAATATGAGTCCATTACTTCAATTAGCTTTACTCTAGCTAATAAGGATGGATAAGGAGATGATAAAATTGAATTGTTGACAGATTCAGCCCACCATATGACTTCTATACATTTTAGCCATCTCCTCCAATGATGAAATAAAATTAAGGAAACCTTCTGCAAATCGTTGGTACAACATCTACTAATAGTTCTAATCCTTTTAAAAAAGTGAATTTGCTTTTAACAACAATATTGACTGTATTGAGTGGGTACCATTTAGATGGATCTGGTTTGAATCTACTACAATCAACCAAATTAGGTATTAACACTTATGTTTCTTGGATCTAAAGTTGCTTTCATAATTAGATTTTTTTTGCTTATTTTTTAGAATGAAATTGCATGATCAACTTCACTTAATATGAATTTCAATATTTTTATTAACATGAAATGAAACAGTATCATTAAATGAAAATAATAATGTCAAACTCTCCATGACTTTTTCATCAAAAACAATCCCAATTAAAATATGTGCATTTCAACTATTCACAATCTTAAATAGACGAAATCAAATATTAAACAAATGTTAACTATTTTATTTATGTTTTTAAATTTATATTAAACCCTAATATTATTTTAATTAATTTAGATGTGGAATATATTCATGATCATTATTCTTATTCAAATAGTTCCTTCTCTTATAATTTTAAAATTCTCTATATATTTTAATATATAATGAATCAAATGTAGCATAAAATAAATACATTAATTTAATGGCTTTAAAATCATTTAGAACATTCTAATTAATTCTAGTTAATTCTCATTCTGAATTTAATTGCCATAAAAATTGCCCTATGACTTTTAATATATGAATTATTACAATATACTTGGAATCTAAAATAACTCATCTCAAGAACAAATCAAAATAGCGTTCAGGAATCTTGCAAAAATGCATCATCCAGTAAATTATGATTGTATATTCAAGGATAAGAATCCTTAATCAGTTTAATTTAGAATAATCTCTGAAGCTTACCGAATCCTCTCAAATCCTCAATTAAGAGCCCGATATGATCAAGCTTAGTAATAATATGAAAAACAACTATAAATATACAAGTTAATAAGAAATTTTATTAATGGGAATGGTGAAATTCCTCTAATCCATTAAAAAGATTTTGAATCTAATTAAAATGAATCCAAGACCGTTGATATACAATAAATCTAGAAAAAAAAAATTCGTAAGACTTAAAATTGAATTCTCATTATATATTACTTTTTTTGTTCAATATTAAATCTAAAATATATAAATTATATATATATATATATGTAAAATAAAACATCACTAATTTTTGATTAAGCAGCTAGACATGCAAAAATTAAAAAAGAGAATGAAGAATAACTTTAATCAACATTAAAATTATATTAACAATATGGAAAAATTGATGATGGTAATCTGATAACAACAATTCTCGATTCTCTATAAACAATTGAATTCTTTAAATAAAATTGTCCAGAAGGAATGAAATTAGCTGATTTTGTTTCTAATGCTATTAAATATTTTAAATTTGAATAGTATGATTATGGATCACCAATATTTCATTATGGAGAATATGGTGATAAAATGTTTATCATTTTGAAAGGAGAAGTATATGTTTTTGGACCAAAACCATAAGATGAAATTAACAAAGAAATAGAACAACTTAAGTTATAAGATGAAGGTGAATTAATTATTAAAGGATAAAAAAGGTAGTTAATTACTAATGTAGATAACTTACTCAAAATTTAAGATTCCAGATATTATAAAGATGGAATCTTTTTATATTAAAAAGTAAAATTACTCTTTAAATTAGATTTTTCAATATTATTCTGGATAATGTTTTGGAGATGTAGCATTAACATCAGACAAACCTAGATCTGCTACTATTATTGTATCATCAGAAAAAGTTTATTGTATATCTATGCGAAGAAATGATTTTAAAATCATCTTCTAAAAGTCAATTCAATAAGCTAGAAATACTATTGAGTTTTTTATGAAAATATTTCCAGGGGCACTTCAATTCAATCTCTCTAAATTTATATAATATTTAAGACCTGTTGTATTCCAAAGTAAAACAATCTTATGGTAAATTGGGGATGAACCATAGTTCTTCTTAATTATTGTTACTGGAAGAGTAGAACTCTATAAATATATGGATATTGATACATTGACAGGTAAATCGAAAATTAATGATGAAATCAAATAAGGATTATTTATAGGCAAATAATAATATAAAGCTAAAATAGTTGTATAATTAATCTTTCTATATTAAGCTTAGTTAATTAGCAGAAGGTAATATAGTTGGTCAGGAAGAGCTTTTGGATGATTTTCAAAAAAGATAATATTATTGTGAAGTTGTTGATATCACAAATGCCTATTATATGGAAGCAAGTGATTTTAGAGCAATATAAGGAAATCATTAAGATATTATAGATTGTTTAAGAGAAAGAGCAATAATTAATAAAGATTATATAAATAAAAGAAAACAATTAATAATTCAAAATTTTAAGAATTATGATTCATATTTGAATTCTTTAAATTAAAACTAAATAAATAAAGAATAAAAATTAAAAGAGATTTTCTAAATGCCTAATAAAGATAATAAATCTAATTCTATATGTGTAAGATCTCAAAAATAAATTAAAGGATCTTAAAATGAGATTCTCTAATAACATATATAATTTGATTAAAAAAGAAAATTAGTTGAACCTTAAGAAAAAACAGAATTAAGATTTATCATAAATAATAATAATTTATCATACATTAAAGAAAGAATATAAAGATAATAATAACCAGAAAAAAATAGTTAATCACCTTAAAAACATATTAAAAATAAAGTTTTGATTTCGTAAATATTAAAAAAATATTAAAATAAAAAAGTACTTCATGAAAAAAAAGATAAAAAAAGAAAATCTATATTTGTAACTTCATCATAATCATCAATTGGATAGAATATGGAAACTGAAAATTCAGTTGATTTATTAAGATAAAGATAAAGAACTTCAATATTAAGACCAAGTTATGTTAAATTAAGAGGTAGAAAATTATCTGGAGAAAAAAGCAATAATAATAATAATACAACAATTATAAATTTAACAGAAATAGAAACAAGAACACATTAATAAACAATGCATTAGATAACTAATATGACACGTTTAACTCCAAATAGCACTAATTTTTTTAAAACAATAAGATCTATTTCAGGGAAATGATAATATCACTTTATAAAATTCTCAATAACATAATATGCTGCCTTTGGGTTATCAGTTGGTATCATATGACCTGCCTTATAGATTGTTGCATATTATAAGTTTTCATATGCTTTTATGTATCCATGAGTTTCCACCTTGTTTTCTTATCCTTAAATTGGAAAAGTAATTAATTTTTTTTGTGCATTTTTCCATTAATATTTATATGTCCAATCTATCTATTAAATCCAATTCCATGCTCCTGGTGTATTAATTATATAATCTAGTTATCCATTCAACAACAAAACCTTATACTTTTTCTATAATAACAATTCAATATCCTTTAATCTACTTTCACCAATATCTTATTGGAAGGCATCATAAATCTTAGAATTAGATTTCTGAAATTGGGTTATTTCTGAAGAGAATTCTTTTATATAAGTATTTAAAAATTGAACCCAAGAATAATCATACTCATCTAATCCTTTATATTTTCGAATATTGTAAACATTAATATTACCAATCTATTCTATAAATTTATCTTCTGTCATAAGATCTAATTATTCTGCTCCTTTTGCATACTCTCCATTCATAATATATTATTATCCTTTTACACCTATCTTCTATAATCTTTCCAAATCGAATTCAGAAATAGCTCCAATACTATATAAATAACTATGATAATAATTTAATTGATTTTGAGTATCAGTGATACCATCTATTATTGCAATTCCTTTGAAATTTACTTTTTTTAAGGTTTCTTCATCTTTCAATAATCTTGTAGCAAATGCTGGTATATAATGTCCTGCATAGCTCTCCCCAAAAATATAAGTAGTAACTTAATCTAAACCATTTAATCTTGTATAGATCTATTTAATTGTTTCCACAAAATAGTTAGCAGCCTAATCACTATTTGTGACAACATTTTCTTTATCAGCTTTACTCATACCAGCACCAAATGGTTAATCAATAAAAAGTAGATGCATCACCTTATTCCAAGAATATTCCTGTCATATAATAATTATTTCTTACTCTCTTAGTGACAATGTAGGGTTTCTCTTTTGCTTCTGTGTCTGGATTTTTTTTTATGACCCATGGACCAATTTCCATATAGTTACCAAGTTAACTGGATGAGCCTGGACCTCCATTCAACCATATAGCTAAAACATCTCCTTTCTAAATTGCTTCAAGATTTGGTGTTCCTTCTTTCAAAATCAAATGATAATATATAGATCCAACATCTTTAAATTTTACATAATCAGTTTCTGTGTAATATGGAAGATCTTCTCCCAGCAACTCAGCGAAAAAGCCTAAACTTAATAAATCTTGTTACTAGTTTAATCTGTGCCCTTGACTAACACTAATGATGTAATAATGAGTCCTAATAAAATTTTCATTAATTAATTTTTATATATTATATATAGAAAATATTCATAAATATCATTTTTAATAAGAATCTCAAGTGAATTAATATATAAATTTAAGAATTCTATACTATTTTCCTATCTTTTAATTATTAGTATGTCAGCTCTTTACATAAAATTCTAATTACTATATGTTTCTTTTCCTTAATAAATTTATTTATAAGTCTTAAAAGTTAAGACAAAATATATAGTTAAATTAATAACCATCTCTACTCTCGCTAAAAATTAATTATTCTTATTATATAAATTATTCTTTTAAAGATTATAATATTTCATTCCTTGTAAGTAATATCATCCCTATCAATGCCATTTCTAAAGGAAATTCTTAATTTATGAAATATTAATAATCATATATTTATTATATTATATATTTAAAGAATCATCAGTTTTTTGGTCTATTAATTCAAACTCTCTTTACTATAATGTCTTTATAATATTATAAAAAAATTATTATTAACAACAATTTTTGAATTTATAATCATAAGAAACATATGTGTAGAATTTTTCAATAAGTCTTAAAGGGAAATCAGTAATTTATTAACTGCATTTTATCTCTTTGGTTTAGTAATTAATTATATTTTATACATTTACCCTAATAGAGCAGTTTCTAGCTATTTGGATTATTTAAGCTTTTACTCTAACAGCTTTAATTAATAATCTAATCTAATTTAAAACAACATGATAGCTTTAAAATAGTAACTTAAATTATAAAATCAAATAAATTGTAATTAACTCATGATTAATTAATAACCGGAAAAAGTTAATAAATTAAATTTAATATATAGTGATTATTATCTGGTACACTTAAGAAATATTTAACTTCAGGTTTTTATACTAATTAGAACACTTTCCGCTATTGATAGCCCTTGCTTGCAATACCCTATATGATGGCTAGGCTAGGTTTTTTCAGATTCGCTCCTGAAATTGTTACTTCTTTAGACTGACTGATGGTTTAAATTTTGTTTTCTCAATTAAAAATGTAAAATAAATTAATTTTAAAATCCCTTAAATTATACAACTACCAAAATTATGTTGAATTTAGGTTTTATTGAATATATTCTAAATGAATTCTTTCAATATTAAATGGGAAGTTATAACAGTATCTATCTTGCAAAAAAATTATGAACTATTTCACATGGCTTTTAGGTGATTTAAGAAATTAGAAATAATTTGTACACCAAAATTATATTAATGAAGATTAATTAATACGACTTGAAGCTATCATTATAAACCTTCCTTCTTTAATTTCCTATCTTTTGACGTTTATTTGCTCTTTTTACAAAATTCTAAGGCTTGAGTTATTTCTATTAATTATTAGTAGCATTTATTATAAAATTAAAAATGATTTCCAAATTTAAATTAATTATAAATAAAGTTACAGATATATTATTAAAATTACAAAATTAATTTGTTATTTTATAGATTAAAAAAATAACAAAACTATTAAATAGTTTTTATTATTTTTAAATAAAATATATTTTACTTTATTTAATTAATTATATTGCATTTTAAGATTATGTTATAAATTTATAGATACATCTATGATATATGCTAAAATTTCAAAATTATTATATTTTTTTGCTAACAATAGTCGTATAATTATCTTTAACGCTTACAAACCATAAAATTATATTTTAAAGAAGTTGATGAGAAAAATCATGATATTATTATAATATCGATAATTATAATATTATCACCATTTTCAAATATTAAATTATTATATCTTAGTATAGTTTTATTATACTCTTTTAAAATTATTAGAAGTGGAGAAAATCATGATTTAATACCCAAAATGCTTAACTTATTAACAAATTTCTGAGTTCATCCATAAAAGATGATTTCTCTAGTTAGTAACTTTCTATTACAATTAACTCTTTTACAATTCCTAAAGATTGTGAGTATATTATTTAATGCAAGCCTATTATTTTTAATTTTAGGGATCATCATCTTTATTTTTTTTCTAAATCATCAATAATAATGACATTTGGCAGTTATTAACACTAAATTTACATAGTGATAGATTGAGTTTATAAGGTTTTCATTATTGATTTAACTAGAGATTATAAGGATCTTTTATGATAACATGTGGAATTCTTTATTTTTTGATAGATTAAATTTTATTTTATTATTTCATACAGAATTTATTTAGTTGCTCTTTAATTACGATTACCCCAGTATCAATATATACCATCCTGCCTGCTTTAGTGAATTCATTCTAAACCTCCTCAATTCTAGAATCTCATCAGGATCTTTAAATATATTTAATTTAATTGTTTGATATTATTTTTATAATAATATTTTAATAATAATTATATGATTTAAAATAAATGGTTTAATCTACTTAGCAGCAAAAATGATAAATTTATTGGATCATCCAATATCTATCATATATGGCTTTAGAATATGACTATTAAAAATACGATGAATAATTCATATTATGAAAGAATTGATATTTTTTTCAAAATTTATTGTACAAATATTTATATAAATGTTATATTTTATATATTTTTGATTGTTAATCAATTAAAATATATTTTTTATATAAAATTTATCTTAAATTATTTTTATTAGCATAATTTCTCTCAATTAATTTTACTCGTAATCTTTTCATCCTCTTTCTACATTTTTGTATCAAAAATATATTTTTTAATTTCATCTAGCATTGCTACTTCAATTGCTTATTTTAATTTGTTTGAAAATATTTTTTTGGACGTTTATTAAAAATTATTAATTTCATTAGGTATGTTTTTTATAGCAGATAAAAGAATTTCTTACACAGCTTAATCAAATTTTTCATTTTCCAAATATTTTTGATACTATTTTAAAAATTATGGTTTGAATGTTAAATCATCATCATTAATCATTCCTTTGTTTTTAAGATAGGCAATACTGTTTATAATTAATTCATGATATTGAAGTTTTTCAATTTCTTGAAGTTAATTTTGTTTTTTTTGATATTAATCTCGTTTATTATTAAAGTCATCAATCATCTAATAATATTATAATATATTACTTAATTCAATTACTCTATCTAATTTTATGTTCTCTAGTTTGGATTTATTAAATCTTATTATTATCTCAAATATTTTTATTAATTATTTAGATTTTCATAATCAATTTTCAATTAATCACGTTTAGCATAAATTTGTTTCTAGTACTCCTTTTATAAAATTACTTCTAATGGGTTTTTGTATTTAATTTAATTACTTAACAAACAACATAGATTGTAAATATTAGGTCTTATTACTTTTTAATAAAATTCGTTCAAAGATTGAGGATTTGAAATTTTTAGTTAAATACATGCATTTTAAAGAGTCTGATCCTGAAAACTAAGGTTTTAGCTCAAATGAGACTATATCATTTTATCTGTAATACTTTCTTTTATCTTTTCAAAATCGCACAGTTTTTCATAATATAGATCAAGCAAGATTACAATTTTTTGAATATTTTGATCTCTTGAAAAGCAATCCAACATTATAGTAGAGAAATATTTTAATTCATTCTCCATGGCCTTCTAATATTGTTTATATTATTCAAT